GGTCATAAGCTTGACCTGACCTGATGTTAACCTGAAAATTTGTCTACCTGACCTGGATTTTTCAGGTTGGGTCACAGGTTGACCTGACCTGATTCAGAGCTCTAGTAAACTCACTTTCGATGAATTATTATTAGAAAAACTTAGCAAAGTATCTTCTAACCCTAGTTTCAGAAAAGTAAATACTGTGCAAATTATAGAAGATATTTAATGTTTATTTGATATGTGCTAATTATTCTTCAAATAAAAGTAGTTTTCTTCCATAATTTTATATAATATTTCTAAAGAAGATTACCCTCAATTTATACTAAATATTCTTCTGCTATTATTTTATATAATATTTCATTTCGCGGGAAAAATACCTAACTACATACTATTAAAAATGCACTATCTAAATTTGATGCTTAACCAATAAATAGAATAATATTTTTTTTGCTCACCTCTTGACAGACAATTCAGAAGTCTTTATGAGTTGAAGAACCTCAACCTCAACCTTACGTTTTTACCTTATTTGATAATTATGCGAATAAATACTAGCAGAGTAGTTGTGGCAATACCCCGAATCAGCATCAGTAGGATATACACAATCACTAAAAAGATAGTGTCTTTTTTTCAATTTCTTTTCATACAATTTCCAGTGTCTATAACATCCTTCAGGAAGCCAGCAATTATTTTCACAAACAGTACCATTTCTTTTAATATATGGACAAGTAAAGAGACCATATAAGTATTTTAGAATATAAAACCCTCTTTCACTTTTAATTTCATAATAAAATATGTATTTAAATTAATCAGTATAATAATGAGATAAATTATCTTTTCATACTTACGCTATAGATATATTAGATCAACTGGTAGATAAAGCTTGCAATGAAATCTATAATCCCAAAACTAATCATATAATCATTATAGATGGGTCAGCATATCATAAATTATTATGTGATAGTTATATGCATTGGAGATAAGAAAGGCTTTTAATCCCACCTTTACATGAATTGCTAATATTAAGAAAATATTTTTTTTTCATTTTCTATCGTATTTGGGATATCATATCAGAAAGAAGTTTACTAGTAATGGTTAACGAAAAAATAAGCCTAATGCAAATCTTGCTTCAGGTTAATTATATTGTTTCGCATAAATCAGATTGGATCAGATTTAGGTAAAATCTGATTCAATTTGAATCTGAAAAATCTGAATCTGATTCGATTTGAATCTGATAAATCTGAATCTAAATTTGTATCCGAATCTGACAAATCTGAATCCGTATTCGTATCTGATAGATCAAAAAATTTTTTAACAAAATCTGCCTTCACTATTCGGAACAGCATTTTAATGTTAAAAAACAACAATTTTGTTGTTTTTTTAACAAAAATCTGCCTCTAACATTCGAAACGGCATTTTACTGTTAAAAAAATAATAATTGTGTTGTTTTTTTAACAAAAATCTGTCTCTGACATTCAGAACAGCGTTTTAATGTTAAAAAACAACAATTTTGTTGTTTTTTTAACAAAAATTCTGCCTCCGACGTTCAGAACGGCATTTTAATGTTAAAAACAACAATTTTATTGTTTTTTTAACAAAAATGCCTTTGACATTTGGAACGGCTTTAATGTTAAAAAAAATAACAATTTTGTTTTTTTAACAAAAATCTGCCTCTGACGTTCGAATCGGCATTTTATTATTAAAAATTAATTTTTTTAATAATAAATGCTGCGTCTGACTTTCGGTGCGGCATTTTTATATAAAAAATTAATAAAAATTAATTTTTTTATTAATAAATGTCACGTTCGACTTTTGGGGTGGCATTTTATTATTAAAATTTAATTTTTTTATTAATAAATACCGCATTTGACTTTCAGGGCAGAATTTTATTATTAAAACATTAATTTATTTAATAATAAATGCCTTGTCTGACTTTCAGGTGGCATTTTTATATAAAAAATTAATAAAAATTAATTTTTTTATTACAGCTAATTTCATAATTCGTGGACCACTAATAAATTGCGACTGAATGTGACTGAAAATATTTTATAATAAAATTACTAGAAAATATTGCGACTGAATGCGACTGAAAAATTATTAATGGTCCATAAATTATGAAATTAGCTGTAATAAATACCACGTCCGACTTTCGGGGTGACATTTTTTATTTCAAATCTAACAAATCAGATCTAAATCCAAATCTGAATCTGACAGATCGAATCTGAATCTGAATCCAAATCTGTCAGATTGAATCAAATTCAAATCCTAATCTGATCTGGATCTAACAAATCGAATCAAATCAAAATCCGGATCTGAATCTGATTTGAATCTGATAAATCTGATTCGATCCGATCCGTCGAATTTGGATCAAATTCAGATTGAATCAGATTTTTTGCGAAATACTAGTTAATTGGCATGATTTTATTTTATGCTAACTATTAAAATTATACTGGAAACGGTAAGAGACAAAGAGACGAAAGCTTGAAGAAATGAAGTATTTATGAAATATCTCTATCACCTGAATTTAGTTCTATCAAAACATAGACTGAGAGCTTTATATAATGCATTTATCAAGACAGATGTTTTAGAGCTGGAGCATATATTAGCTCTAGTGCAAGTATTTTATTAAAATGTATTTACAACAGAAATAAATCGATTCATAGCTTTGGAATTGGGGTTCTATAACTATATTTTTTTATGCTTATTCTATCTACCTGCAGATTTTAAATCGATATAAATATCCTTTCAACTCTCTGTTAGCTTCCACTAACCATAAGCAGGATAGTTAGGCATGAATTATTGGAATATTTTTTCGAATTGAACTTTTTCCACTTAATATAATCTGAATACCACAGATTAATCTAACTATCATCCTATAATTTACATACCACTCTATATAATGTCTGCTATTACAACCAAGTTCGTTACAGATCACAAACTCATCAATGAAATGAGTCTCAAAGAGCTTAGCTGATATGCGCTAAAAATACTTGAGCTCTTGACAACTGGTGTGCCAAAGATAGATAAAGAAAAAAGTCACCAGACTCGTGATCATCTTCAAAAAGGATATAAGTTTAGTAAAGAATAGGCATATATATTAATTTCTCACGAGAGACTTGTGCGAAGTAAAAACCAAGTAACCCTCAAAGAAGGAGAGGGTAGGTCAGAGGCTAGAGAAGTGAATATATGTGGTGCTAAAAGCATTTGTCAAGTATCCTTTAATAGTACTTGTTCTAAGAAGACTATTAAAGAAACGACTCAGCGTATTATCTGAGATAATCTTAGTGAAAGAGATGTAAAAGTGATATCTAGAATCTTAGTCAAAACTGCCTCTGACCCTATCGCTGGTATGTCCTGTCTTATTAGTTTTCAAAGAGAATTGCGAAACCTTAATGCTTCAGAAAAAATAATTTCTGCTACTAAGATTCTGAATATAACAAAATCATCTAATAAAATCCAAAAGAAATGAAATGAGCAACGTAAAAATGAAGAGCTCAATTATCCAGATCACTTCTCATTAGAATCAGTTAAAAAGAGACTGGATTCGTATGATATATCTAATACACCTGATAAACAGGCTCTAGCTGATATAATAATCATACTCTGTATCTATCCTGCTGAAATTAAAGACTTGCACATATCCAATGGAAATGTAACTGGATACGCAAAAATTAAGACTAACAGGATATTTCTTAGATTTTTAGATCACTGGAAAAGAACGAGAAACGAGCAAGATAATTGCTTACATAGATTCAGGAAGCAATAATTTCTGAGAAGTTAAAGGAACCAGAAAAACTCAGATCTATATACTTTTAAGATCATTTCTGAAAAAAGATAAATATATTCCTAAACCATATAAGCTATTACTTCCTAGTTTTTTGCGCAAATTAGAAGCAGTATTTGCTTCTGTAATACATAATCCAAAAAATCCATTAAAAGCTAATACTTATACCAGTGAAGCTCTTTGGCACTCTCCTGACAACTATACTGCTCCATTTGATAAGTATACTATAGTTAATTTTAGAAAGAGATGACAGCCTTATGATTAAGCAGGTCCATTCAGCACCTTCGATGAAAACTAATCGTATAGTGGGTTAGATGGTCAGGAGGACTGATTTATCAGCCTGATATTATTTATTAAATTTTATTTTTTCGCTCGAGGCAAGATATAGTATATATAAAATATTACAAAAATGATAACTGATCAAAAACAATCATCTGATAGTGCACCTAGCGAGCAGGAAGTTATCAGATACACAGAAAAATTAGCCTGAATATTTAGACTAAATGAACAAAATGCAGAAGTATATACTGCACTTTCCAGTGAAAATAGGGCATTAAAGAAACAATTGAAAGTTTATCATTCCCAACATAACACTTTAGAAAGGAGGGTAAAAAGATTGAAAAGAGATGTAGGATCCTTAAAAAATGAATTAGAAGATCTGGACGAATGTGTGAATAGGAAAACTGTAGTTGACTTAATGCATGAAACAGTTCTCTCGCTGATTGATAAGAAAGATAAGGATTCCTCCTATTCATCTGAGTTTTTTAAAGATTTTGACTCAGCTGAGATAATTGAAGAGTCCCATAGGTATCAGGTAAGAGAAAAAAAGCTGTCCCTTATAAGCAACGAAGGAAGTATAACCAAGAAATGTTAAGGGTAAGATATCTGTGTAACTACTGATCATACTATAATACATATGTGCATATGTGGCTTATTTTATTTTCTTGTAATATTATAACTCGTGACTAAGTAATGTAACAAACAAATCAAATATTTCTTATTAAAAATATTTTTTTCGCACTCTTACGGGTCCTCTGTATCCTTTCTAATTGCTTGAAAGTTACCAAGTTTGTTTCTTTATTAAGTTTATTATATATTATATATAATATGTTTCTGCTCATTAACCCTAAATAATGCTCATTAACATACATAATTGCTCAAAATTTGGTTTTTTTTTGCCAATACTTTAGGAATGTCTAGTTCCTCATTTATATACCTTTTTTGTAACTTTGGTATAATGGTATCAATAAAATAATCTAAATTTACTTAAAACTTTTCAAATGTATCGGAAATATATATGATCTATTTTTAGAACATATAAAATTATCATATTATTAGACCGAACTTTCATATCCTAATAATCTCCTCATAACAAATGATAAATGTCGCAAGTATTCATGTTCCGGAAGGTCAATTTTCGTCCATGATGATACCAATTTACTTACTCTTCTTTCTGAACATCAATATTTACCAAATGGCAACCAATCTCAAGTATACCTTTCATTAAAAGTTACAAAAATCAATTCAGATTTTAACAATAAAGTATACGTTCCTCTGATCCCGGGTTATGCGGTATTTACATATATTGGAGGCTATTACTTTTATTTAAAGTTAGGCTGGTATTCTATACATCATGTCATTATGTATCAATGGTCAGATTATGGCTCAGATCCAAATTTTACGCAAGTAATTGCAACACAATCAGAACCAGATCAACTATCTAGTCTTCAGCAATATCTGGAAACAAATTCTGATATACGTTATGATGGTGCTCTTTCAATGCCTTTTTATTTGGGCTTGATTACAAAAGAAAATGTTGAGTGATTATGTGGTTATGTTTCAGAAACCTATTCTAATTTGTTTGAGGAAGCATGAGAACTATATAAAGCAGAATTAGCATGTAATAAATTATTTAAAACAGCAAAATGAAAAGCTGAAGAAATATCAAATGAGTTTCATACACAAGTTTCCGAATTATCTAATAAAAATTTAATAGTAAAAGGATTATTAATACATCCGAAAGGATGGAAAGTATCACTGCAAATATCTCAGGTAATGGCTTTGCAACTAAGGTTATCACAAAGCAATTATCAAAATATTACAAAATGTCTCTGTCGTTCTCAAAAAAAAGTTAAACAATTGCAAGAACAATTACAAGAAAATTCTGATTGTTCTGACAATTCTGACGACGATTCTGATGCGTAAGTAATTAAATAATTATTATTTTTTTGATATTGTTTTTGAATACTAATAATTTACAAATTTTTACTATAGTGATGAAATTTAATTTGATGAAGAATCACAAATGGCTACTAATGATCTTGTTCAAAAGCTGATTCAAAAAGGAAAGTTAGGATCAACCATATTTATCAACACTACAGAATATTTTAGCTTGGTAGTTGCTCAACTATGCTCGACTTATAATAATTGTAAGATTGATAAGCAGAAATATAAAATCAAAACCAGTGGACTTTCAGTTAAAGTTACCACTACAGTAAGCAATGTCATACTGTTACTATATTTACAAATGAATTTACCGAAATGAATTTTTCAAGAGTTGTTGCAGGAGCTGGACTTTTAGAAGGTATTAATCATGAAGAATGGAGAAATATGTTAGCTTTTTGTGGGATTACTAAACAAAGTGGTAAAAGGCAATATTTTGAACATCAAGATATTATGCTTAAAGATATTGTGCAAGCGGCATATCAAAGTGCAGATGAGGCTTTAACAGCAGCATTAAATTTTATAAAAAACAGCCGGAAAAAAAGGAAGGATATATTTTGGAGGGCAGTTTTGATTGTGCATGAAGCCATATGCATGAAGCTTCACAAGCAAGGTGTGAACTAATATTTAATGGATTTTTAGAAGGATCTGTATATCGTCCAATAATTGCTTTTCATGTAGCTGAAAAATCTCAGGTTTATAAATGAAAAGAAGAAACAATTGTAATCAATAAAGGCAATTATGATAGCAGTTCTCAACAAATGAAACATGCAATATTAATTGCAATAATTGATAAAATTACACCAATAATTGAAACAAATGATGTAATACTTGATATTGGAATCGATAGAGATTTAAATAGTAACAAAACACTTGCAACTCAAAAAATTGTATACAAAATTTTTACTGATCTTAAACACAAAGCAAAACTCATAAGGAATAAATTAGGTAAGAATGTAATTTTATATTAAAATATTTATTATATAATTATAATTATTAATCGTATTTTTTTTTATAAAGCTTCTAATTCTAGATGGAAATCGTTAGAGCAACCAATCATGTCATTTTATAATAAATGCGTTTATGGTGCTATCGCGAGATGTCATAATCCAGAAATTGAAAGTCCTACAGATGAAAACCTTTTTTTATGCATACAGAAGGTGTTATTGCACATCTTTCTGACATTCATGATCAATGTTGGCCAGAAGTATGTTGGTTTCATAATTCTCCGGATATGGTTTTGGCGGAACTTAATTTAAAAAAATACACAAAAAATCAAAAAAAAGATCTTTTAGGATTTTTAAAATGTATAATTTATTTAAAAGACAAAAGTTTAATTAATATGATCAGGACTAACGTAAATGAAGCAGTTAATCGTGTCAAATTAAATTATACTGATAAAAAACTGATTATCCAAAATCATTTGCTGCTCGACATGCGCTTGTTATTATATATAATAACAATAGAATTATTCAAGCATTTGAATTGGTTCGTAAAGTAGCACATTTGGCACTTTTTTCTGAACAAGATTATTTAAATCTGTTACAATTATGCAAAGATAGAGAGGATAAACGTGAATATAATATTGCAAAGATTAATCAAAGAAATCAAGTACGTGCACAAAAAATTTGTGAGCAAAAGAAAAAACTTGAAGGATTTGACTTTGATCAGGTAAGGTTAATTTTTTACAAGTTATATATATATTTTTT